GGAGAGATGGAAAATCCAGTTGTGGATCAGATGTCTTTTCAGCTCAAACTGTATAATGTTTAACACTTGGACAGAAATATACAGACCATAAAATGATGTACAGATATCTAGCATTTTACACTCTATTTACAGATGACATCAGTTCCTCTAAAAGGCAGGATAGCCATCAAACTCATTTTAGGGTGTCCACAATATGACTTAAGATACTCTACATACCTACATACTTCTTCTCAAATTCACCAGTCAAGTGGCGTTTCACAAATGTTGTTTTACCAGTACCACCATCACCAACCAAAACAAGCTGAGGAAAGATTTTTAAAAAGATTATTTTTAAGAAAATTGTGTCTTATGCTAACATTTTTTCCTACTGGTATCAGTCTTACAAAACAGAAATACATATCCAGCCAGTATGTTGTAGCTGTTATAGAACAGAACTAGTTCTGGGGAAAGCTAGGTTTAAATTTTTGTAGGCATGAAATTGACTAGGCTTGTAACTCAGAGAGTGCAACTTACAAGATGAACTTACAAACTATTTATCTCAGCCATCTCATCCAAACCTACAGATTTATTTCAGAATAAAACTCTTATAATCATAAACTAAAACAAATTCAAAAAAATCATAGATCTATACCTTGCAAGCTATTCAAGTTTCATTTATGCATTCATTTATGTATATATTTAGTTTTTCTATTATACTAGAAAAAATGAATTTTTGAATAAAAGATATGATACATAAATGAATATTTATACTATTCATGTATCATATTATATATTTTTTCCATCTTGATGTTATTGTTATTGCAAATTCAATCTAAGGAAAATCTAAGCAAAACATAAATAGTAGCCCTTTATATATGAGTATATAGAGGCCATTAATTTTGCTTTATCTAAAATCTTACTTCCATTTCTTTGAAATTACTCAAAAGGGCTGGAAAATTTCACACCCAATTATTTCTATGTACTGGAAGGAAATTGCACAATTTTACAATTAAAGTCATCCAACTGTTTGGAATAGAATAGTGAATAGAATTAGCCACTATTTAAAGAGAAAGACAGTTTTCTTTTGACAATATTAATAAAATCAATACAGGTAACGTTTCCTATATTTACAAATTCAATCCAACATATTAAAACAAAGAAACACTTTTACCAATTTACCAACAGCACTACATCAGAAGAAATACTCCCTCAATACAAATAATCAGGGATAACACGGGTCATTAAAAATTACAACATTTGAACGGCAAACTGACTACTTTATCAGCTGAACTAAACTAAAATGTATATCCCAGTGGTCTACAAAGAAAACAGGCATACATGTTAGGCCACAAGCCTATTTGGGAATCAAACTGATCATATTTGGTACATCTGCCTTCCAAGAAACCATACTGAATTCCTAGCCACACGCTGTCAGTCCTCAACAGATTTAAAAGAAATTCTACGTTCCATCGAGAACAGGCATTTCTTTGAAGTGCAGGGGGGAAAAAAAGCAAAAAAATTCCAGTCAGGCCAAGAAGTAGCCTGGCGCGGCAAAGTCTGCCAGCGAAAAAGCATTCCTGTGGATTTGCAAACCAACAAAGAAAGCCTGGAGCCCCAGCTTCCCGTGCTGGTTTCCTCCGGGACAAACGATGAGGAAAGACCAGGTGGAAAGAAGGCTTCAGCAGTACCTTAAACTGCACTTGGGGTTCTCCTTGCGGGGCGGCCATGCTGCGTCTGTGGAGAAGAGCAAAGCATGAGCGGGGAGGGAGGCGGCACTGCGGATCGTCGGCCCCACGCCGCCCAAAGGCGCGTGGCTGGCTGGCTCAGCTCTCCATCCGGGTCGAGAAGGAAGCAGTAAATGGCGGCGGGCACAGGGGCCGGCGGGTTGTGTGTGTGTGTTTGTGTGTGTTTCCCCCACCTTCCAGCCCCCACCAAAACAGCACACGTACACAACCCCATTCCACCCCCTCCCCACCAAAACACGCAACTAGATGCTTGGCCCAGCAGAACTGAGATGGCTGAAGACTGAAAAGAGAGTGGACAAGGGAGGCAGAGAAGGGGGGTGGTGGGGTGGTTGGGGGGGCAGGGGAGAAGAGAGCTGCAGCTGCCAAGTCAAGCCACCTTTTTCCCCTTTGAGAAATCT